CAAGTTCTCCAATATTTAATTCTTTCTTTTCATCCTCCAACACATCCTATCCCTGTAGCCCCATTCTTCACTCTCATAATTTTTGTTGAAATTATATATAAATATTTCTAGCACAATACAACAAGAACAACATACCTAGAAAGAGTTGGATGTACCTAGATCTTACTTCACCTTTATTGGGTTGAGAGATTATTTTTGATAAATCCTCATCTCAAAATTAAAAAAAATGTTATATATGTAAGCAACATGACAAGAAGATATGACAACCAAATAGTAAGATATAAAATAAATACCGTAACAAATAGTAATACACATAAAAAATAAAAACTATGCTATTATTTAATAGAAAAATCACTTATTTTTTAAAAATAACAACAATATAATTTTCTAAAAGAGATATGTAAAACAAAATATTTTTCCTCGTACTAAACATACTCCAAAGCCTTTATTTTAGTATTATTTTTGTGTAGTTTGTTACTTTGTCATTTCATTCGTAATTGTCACCATCCAAGCATAGATCCGGACGCGACACGGGACCTAGAACCACGAGTGACTCCAAACTAATCCATTGTACATGCATAACATAAGCATATAACTAAGCGAAATAAAGCATGCAAATTAGTATAAGCGGAAGTCTAAGATATCATAAAGCATAAATGGAGACAACAAGTCAACATCGCTGAGCATCTATACATCATAGTTTGAAAAACTTCTAAAATATAAGATGAGCTGATGGGACAAGCCCCCAACTAGCTATGCTAAGTCTGTGACTGAAAAGACATAAACGGGGCATAAGCTAAAACTAACATTCTCGGATGATGAGGACTCACCAAGAACTATGCTGAACCGGAGTAAGAGTGAATCTAACGGTAAGCCGAGACTGATCACCCGAACCTATATCATAAAATGATACAGTACAAAAGTATGCAATTAGTACTTTGAATGTACTGAGTATGTAGGATAAGTAAAACATGAGAGTAAGGACAGCATGCATGTTGTAAATCATGATCATGATATAGTCATAAAACATGAGCTTTGCATCATAAACTGAAGTTGATGACCCAAGGTTTTCAAAATAGTATCGTAAAGCTTAACATGTTTGAAATCATAAGTAAATATTATAAACTGATAAATGGATCAAAAATATTATAAAATATGACATCATAAATCCTGAAATGAAGAGACACGATACATGAGGAACAGTGGGAGATTCTCATAACCGACATACTCCAAGTAAGCATCATGGAGCCCGACCTATACCCCTGATCGGAGGGTGTCCATACCTTACCAAGGGTAACGACCATGAAGGCGTGATATCACTCATGAGCCCAATGGCGTAAGGGAGACACTCTTAACTGGCGAAGACTCTTTAGGCTAGGGGCAAGGGAGGCACTTTCTATTGGTGAGGACCCCTTATCCTACGGTGGCACGTAGTTCTGAGACCTGGGAACGCTGAACTCCTGCCTATTCGGTGTTAAATACTACTCCCAAAACATATATAGCTCATATCATAATCACGAAACATACTTAATTTTGCATGAACTAGTTAGAAATCATGAAATTCATAAATTGCTTGACATATACGTGAACTAGCCATGAAAATAATGCTAAGAATTCAGCCATGATATATAAGTTTGAGATCTATGAAATTCATACACAATTGAGTAACTCATCATAACTTGAAAATAAAGATTCATGAGAGTTTTTCATAGAAATCGTGTAATTATAATCGTAAAATATAAATAGAATCATAAGAGAATCAATTTCATAAGAGATCATGGAGTTTTTCATCAAAAAAGGCCTAACACTAGAAATTCATGAAAATCATAGTTGGAGACTTGAAGGAATTGAAATCATGTAATTGAGCTTGGGATTGGGCATGAGGATCGAAGAAATCTCCCATTCATGACCTCATATACCTGGGCTTAGATGAGTTCTTGCTTTGAATTGAGACCCAAGAGAGTTGGAAGAAGAACAACCCTAGGAGCTTGAAGCTTTGAGAGGTTTGATCTTCAATCTATGATGTTTTGAAAGGAATGAAGGTTTAGGCTAAGTAAAATCCTCTAATAAACCCATTAGGAACCCCAAAACGACCTCATTTAGCCATTAAAAGCATAGAAATTTACAAAAGTACCCTTAGAAACTCGCATTAAAAATCTATTCGCCAGTGACCACGACCTAACCTACTATCCGTAGGTCGTTACCACGACTCGTACTGAATCTCATAGTCACTGATTCCCCTGTTGATCAATCTCTGAATCTCTTCCCACGACTCCTTAGTACGAACCTTATACTCCTGGTACGAGTCGTGGGATCCTGTCGTAGTTCCATGAAGAAGATTTGCTGATTTCACTGGACTCCTTGCTACGGGTCTTGGTACAGTTTGTACCTTCATGCCACGAGACGTATTGAGGCTCATACTGAGGGAAATTTTTAATTTTTCAGCTGGTGCATACTCTAAATTTAGGGTCTAATTTTAAAAACTTTTGACGGTGTTAAAGTAATAAATGTAAAACTTTAGTTTCCAATATTGGGGAGATCATTTTCTCAAAAATAAAAAATAAAAAATGAAATAAATGAGCAAGTCCTAAAGTTTTTCAAGGTTTCGTTATATGGGTTGTTGTATCTGGTATTGCTACGTTTAAGAATAATTGGTTTTTTAATTATAGAAGGAGTTTAATAATTGATGTAGTAGAATGTTTAATTTCTTAGTTTTAATAAAAATTTAATACTTTAATTGTAGGAGAATTTCACTATTTTGTTTATGTGCCAATATAAAGCGTATTAGTAATAAAGTTTATATGAGTTAATTTTTCATTCGTATTTTTTACCTTGCCTCTTACATATTTAATCGAAAACTTATAATTGCGATATCAGATCCCCACCAGGATACAACAGTCCAATAATATCGTGCGACTCAAACAACTCCAGACTGGTTGGAAGATCCCAAAATTCCACCAATAAGAATACATTTCTTCAACACAAATTTACTAATCACTCTATTTTATTGTGAATAAGTTGGAGAGCACTTATTAGAATATTTTTCTTTGTCTTAACTCTGTTTTTTTAATTACTACACCAACTTCAAATTACAAACACAATACAATATTCTTTTTTAATCTACAACATAATACTTTTATCCTATTCATCTCTTCAACACGGGAAGAAAATATCATTTATAGATGTTGGATTTCTTCCACTAGTAAATGTCAAGAAATAAAATTGTAACTTGAGGTGAAGTGGGATAACTAGTAGTAGGAGATAATAAGAAAAATATGTCATAGTGGTTAATGAGTTATAAAGAGTAATAACACCATTTTTTCCATTTTATGTCAACTAATTTATCATACATGTTATGTTACACCCCGTAAATTCTTGACATGTAGATGGCCTATTCGCATGTTGGTTAAGAGTTTTTGAATGTCATACATGCTAGGAAAAGGCCCGGGGAAAGA